AAATGCCGTGAAGACAATTCAAATTCCATAAATATGGCGGGGAAACAACTGCCAGAGGTTGTTCATGCTGGATTTGCAGGTAAGGGAAACTGTTGGCCATTTTCTCAATACCAACAAGAGGATGGATGCTTGGATGTGGGTGTGGGACCTCCTCATCTGCAGCATGACACTGGGAATGGTTGTGGAGACAAATTTGGGTCATACAGAGATGGTTCTGATCATGATAATGTCAGAGAGTTCCGCGTGTCTGCCAAGGATGACTCAGTATTTCAATCTTACAACAGTGGGCTGGCTACTCAACGTTCTTCTTGGGTTGGGTTGGGTTGGGTTGGGGGGAGCAACTTAAATTATATTAATATTAAATTTTAAAATATTTATAAAAATATAGGTTTATTTATAGAACACTAATTAAAGAAGTAATTCATATACATGAGCGATATACAAAATGAGCCAATAAAAAAAATTCACTATAAATTTATCTATAATGCCTAAAAAAAAAAATTTGAATCGCAAAATTGAGTTTAATCATATATTAAATTTTAAGAAAAATTTTCATAACTAATTTAAAAATTAATTTGTTCAATCACAAACTTAATATTCATCTTTAAATAATAATCAAAACTAACTTAAACTATAATTATTCCAATAAACTAAACCTAGGTATACGAAGTACTTAACTTATCACAATAAAATTATTCAAACTATCAAGTCAAAATAATTTAATCTAATTATAATGGAGANTATATAATATCAAAAATCGAATTGATCTTTTAATATTTATATTTTAAATAATAATATAATTTTTTAAATTGCGTAATTTAAAATTAAAGTAAAAAGAGAGATAGGTACCCGTTATGTATTGATAGGAGCTTAGTTATACATGATATGTGATTTTGCACATTAAATAATAGTGTACCAGANTGAGACGACTACAAGTCCTAATTCCAATTCAACATATAAAAATAAAATACTAGAGAGGACTACAAACTCAAATATCAATTAAATATATATAAAAAATAAATCATAAAAAAGGACTACAAACCCCAATTTTATTTCAACATAGAAAAATAAATACAATACTATAAATCANTCACAATAACTTCTATTATTGTAACTATCACTAATACCATCATTATTATCTCTACCCTTGTTACTATGGTTATCATCATAACAGTTGTCACAATTTTTTCAAGTTAATTATCTATTTTTTGACATTTTGAAACAAACATACTAATTTATTATTATTTTAAATTTATTTATCAAATTATGATATTTTTTAAAAATATATTTAACAATTACACTTTTAATGTTAATACATGATTTTTAAAAATTACAGTGTTTATAAAAAAAAAGGTATAACAAATACGATTTTATTGAAGAGTAATACTCCCTCCGTTCCTAAATATCTGTCGTTTTGAATAATTTTTTGTGTTCCATAATATCTGTCGTTTAATAAAATTAAAGCATAATTAATATTTTTCTTCCAAATTTACCCTTATCTCTGTTTTTCAATAAGTGTTTAATAGATTAAGTGTAGGGTAGTAGTGTATTTCATATTCTTTTTTTTCTCAATACGTATTGAATAGAAATATTTTAGTCTTGTGCAATTAGTTTTTACTCATATTAAAGTTATTTAATAATTTCCTTAATTTCTGTGTAAAAATCTTAAATGACAGATATTTAGGAACAGACGGAGTATTATTTGGACCTAAAAATTTAACCTAATTTATTGACATAATGATGTGGCTTCAGCAGAATCATTAGATTAACATTAAATTTTAATATTTGATGAATCTCATTAATCAAATATTTGATTAAAATTAAATTTTAAATTTTAATATTTCATTAATCCAAAAATTATAATAAATTAAATCAATAAATTAAGTTTCAATAATATTGCTCTTTATTGAAACCATGCACGTATATTAACCACACTTCTTATAATTGGTGCCATATCTCTCATTGCTGGTATCTTGTGTCAGAGATAATTATCACCAAAAATGTCTCTCTTCTCATTTATTCTCTCTCTTCTGTTCTTCTCTCTCCCCCAAACAAAAGACCGACAACTCACCTAACACTTGACTAGATGCTAGAAAAAGGGTTTTTGAAATACACATTTT